ATTTTGTTCTTATTAATTCTTATTAATAATTCAGATAGTATTGTAATGTAATACGGTGTTTTTTTCTTTTAAAAAAAATAATATAACATGTAAAACGGATTTGAAAATAAGTTAGTTATACTCTTTGTTTCTCGTTGTTTAAATTTTTTTTTTAAATCGGTTTTGGAATTTCGACATTAAAAAACATACATGAAGTCATTACGGTAGTTTTATGCCTATCAATTAACTAATAAAAAATTACCAAAATTCGTCAAATCTCCGTAGCCCCCCTGTGGCCCCAAGCCGGCTGCCCCCCACCCCCAGCCAAGTGAGGCGCGCTTCGCTCGGTTAGCCCAGAGTTGCGACATTGAGAATTTAGAAGCCATTTTGTGTCATACGCGATGCGCGTTCTGTGTCTAACGTGATGTGCGTTCCTGTGTATAATATTGTATAAATACAGTTAGCAGCCTCTTGTATAGTTTAATTCCATTTAATCTTTTTAGCAGTTGAATTTCATGTAACTGTATTTATAGATTTTTTTAAAATGATTTCACTACTTTATATCCAATTTCATATTATAAATACTGTAATAATTTACTATTTTTATGCAGTACTTTTAAGTCAGGTACTAGCTCTGGCTATGTGACGAATATCGATTCAGACGCTTCCGTGACAACAATTTTCAAAATCTGTTATGGGCTTACACCATTATGGCTATTTGTACAGTATGAAGGCCAATAGCTCGCACGGCGATTAATGCTTAATATTTAATAGTTGAAAAAGAAAAAAAAAATAGAATTTAAGCCAAGGCAGGCATATACTTCCTACGTCACAAAGACGTAAGTTGGTCGAAAATTTACAATTTAATCGCCTAACTTTTGTTTGCCATATTTTCCTTCTGTTTTCATTAGTCGGAAATCGGAAAAGCTTTGTACTATCAGATTGGTTTTTGCAGCCAAACGCTGAACAGCCAGTCATCCTAAGCTATAGACCTGGCCTGGACCTTAGCCAAGTTCCCTTTTAAGTACTTCCGATCTCAGTCCATGGTACAGAAAACAATTTCAACAATTTAATAAAAATATAATTAAGATTATTATAATACGTAAAAATCGAGGAAAACCTCAAGAACGCAAGTACCTTTTTAAATGGGTGCTAAGGACCGAAGTAAGTTATTTACTTCCGCCCAAAAACAGTTTGAAAAAAAAAAAATCAATTTACTTGATCATCATCAGGAATAATGATAATACTATTATTATTGATGATGCTTAAATAAAAATAAAACGTTGAATAAAATTTCCTTGTCATTTTTGGAGTGACATCCTTAAGTACTGGTACGCATCCTAATGGTTAAATTGCCCATTTAACTCTCCGTTAGATTTATCTATAATATATACATATATATGTTTCATTTAATTTTTAGTTGTAACGTAATAGCTTTCCTATAGTATACGGTACAAATATTGATTTGGCCTATAATTTATAATTACCATATAGGCCTAGGCCAGAGTATAGGTCTCGTAATTTATATATATATATATATATATGCTGTCTCTTATACACATCTAGATGTGTATAAGAGACAGGTATATTTCAACTTCAATTTTCATAAATTGGCCAAAATTCGCCAATTCTAATTTTAACAGATATTAATTAATAAATGATTA